GGGGGGGGGGGGGGGGGGGGGAGGAGAGTAATGGCCTGTGCATGCCTATTAGTGCTCTGTAGAACAATTATTTTTCCTATAAGAAATCTGACCTCAGCAGCAAGATAATACATTTCCAGACTTGGCATTCCAAATTTTATGTTTGCTAGTATCATCTGCTTCACCCTTGGCTTTTGTTCTGGCCAAACAAATGTTGATCATAATTTATACCATTTGGCTGGGACTGGAATTGACAGATGAAATGGGATGGTTTAGAATAAGAAGGCCCTTATTATCTGGGCATGTTACGTTACTGAGTTAGCATTATTTGATTGTGAACTGCCTTGAAAGCCAGTGGTCAGGCAGAAAGACAGGATATAAACATAAGTTTAGCATAACCAGATTAGTGCTGGGGATCCTTAAGAAATAAGGGCTTTTGAAAGAATTCAGTCCCCTGCAGTGGTGTTTTGAGGTTTTGAAACAGGTAATTAAAGACGCATCCTGAATGAAGATAGTACATTCCACATTCTAAATGTTTCATGAAGAACTGTGGAAGAAAGCGTTTCCTTAGGAAAGGGGAATGGAGAATTCAGAGATAACCATAACTGAAAACGACTGGCCTACAACAGGAATGGGTAATCTGTTGGCCCTTGTTCTAATTTTGTACAGCCTTCAATCACATTTCAAAACAGTGATCCATCCATTTCCTTTTACTGCACAGAGAGGAAGGAAGAAAGAAAACACTGAAGAAATTAAAAAAGAAAAGGAAGTTTCAGAAAAGGCTTTGATCCTTGTTTCTGTCCCATCCACCTTTGGTATTCAACTCCCCAAACTTTACTCTGGAGAAAATCTGCTCTACAGTAATAGCATTATTTCTACTGTGGACACATGCTACATATTCTCTCTCTTTCTCAAGGAAAAATCTTAAAAATGAGTATCGCTTATTGAATCTATTATCAGCAATATTAAAGTGGAAACAACTCCCAAATAGAGCAATAACATGTGACAAATCTTTACAACAGCAAGAGCAAGCTTCCATCCTAAAGGGATAATTTCCTCTTCATTTTGCAATTTCACAGCCCTGAAGACCTCTGAGAACTAATCAATACAGTGAAGCAGACCATATTTTATGGAACTAAATTGGAAGGCTGACAGGAAACTCATCATAAAGCAACCCTATAATTAAGGCTGAGAATCAATATTTTAGAAATTCAGCCAACATCCCAGAAAGGTCCTTTCTTCCAAAGAGCACAACACCTGATGGAAAAGTCCAGATCGCGATGCATTTAAAAAGCTCCGTTTTAAGATAATGTATATTTATGAACACGCTATGTAGCAGATACATTGATTTCCCATATAACTCAGGTTAAGTAGCATTTAAATTATGGAGACTTACCCCTGAACGTAATAGGTTTAACAGTCCAATCATATGTATCCTTGCTCATAGGTAAACCCCACTGGACTAAAATAGGATTTAACCCTGAAGTGTTTTTCAGATTAGAGCCTGCATATCTTGTTAGACCTTAATAATTTAACTGAGCTTTGAATTAGGCAGCAAATCACACAAAGTTCAAAGGAAAATAATGAAAGAGGCAAAAGAATCAGGATAAGTATAAAAGAGAAATTGCATGAAAAAGCATTAGGATATTAGACTTTTATAAGAACTGTTTTTTTAAGGTATCATGCTTCATAGTTAACAAATTATGAGTTAGGTCCTTCGCTTTATAAATTAATAGGTTTAACCATTTGGACTTTGCACTCTTCCAAAGCCACCGCTTGAAGATCTAAGGTGCTTCCCCCTCTTGAAGACTTGCACATGGCTCTTTAAGGCTCTCCCCACATCTTCTGGGCATGCTAAGAGACACTCAAGGAGCTGCGCCGAGCCTTCAAGAAGACACAGTGCACCATAACTGCAAGCACAGGTTTGGAGGGACTCCTCTAAAGTGCCCCTCCAAACAGTTTGCACAGCGTATAAACAAACTCTGACATACCCTGTAATGGCAAAATTAAATACTGTGAACTGAAAGAAAAAAAAAAACCTTTAAAATCACGATTTCCAAAAGAGTCACTATATAAGTTTGCTGTAGCCGCATGATTCTTACAGGCTAATTCACTATCTGCAGCAGAACTTTTGTAAACAATGCTTCCTTTATTAGAGACAAGATTTTAACCCAAGTGACAGATTCAGATAATTTTACCTTCGCTTGAGAAATAAATACATCAAAGAGTCTTTCCACATGCACACCACTCTTTCACACCTCCCATCATGGTTGAAGTCATCAATCCAGAAAGTCTCAAATTGTCAATAGTTTCCTGTTTTGTCTGAACTGTATGGGTACCAAAGATGGAGCAAGCCAGGAAGATAAACCAACCATTGTTTCCTAATCAGGTGAAACAGGAAGCTGAGGTCAATTAAAGGCCTCCTGATTTCTGTCATGCAACGGAAGGAGAGAGAATGCTGTAGGCAGATGTCTACAAATAAGACATATGCCTATAGCATTTTTTCTCCTTCTGTTGCATGACAGAAATCAGGCCAGGTTATTAAGCTTAGTCTATTTATTTATTGTTTAACCTGCCTTTATTTTGGTTAACTCAAGGCAGCATACATACTTAATGCTCCCACCTCCTGTTTCCCCCACCACAACAGCCCTGTGCGGTAGAGTGGGCTGAGAGAGAGGGACTGGCCTAAAATCACCCAGCTGGCTTTCATGCCTAAGGGAAGACTACAACTTATTGACTCCCAGTTTCTAGCCCAGAACCTTCACCACTACACCAAACTGGCTTTCAATTAGACCATCTCTAGTTAGCAATAATATATTTGTATCCATTTATGTCTACCAACAGTAATCCCATTTCAGAATAGGAAGGGGAAAGGAATTCTGGTAGATCAGACCAAACATCCAACTTGTTTTCAGTGATAAGGAGCTACTGAAGAAAACCCACAATCACAATATGAAATAAAAGGAATCACATGTTTATCCTAGTATGATTATTTGGGGTTCACTGCCTATGACCACAGAGATTCCAGCTGTTGATAAACCTGCCCTTCATGATTAGCCCTTTAGACCATTGTTTCTCAACTTCAGCAACTTTAAGAATGGCTGGCTGGGGAATTCTGGGGGTTGAAGTCCATACATCTTAAAGTTGCTGAGATTGAGAAACACTGCTTTAGACCAATGGACATATCATATAATATGATGGTGAAGTTACATACTATGTGCAAACAGGAACTTACATTAAACTTGGTCGGTGCCATTGGGTTGTTCTGTTATTATGATTGACATAGTAGGTGCGTCCAAGGTTGTCCACTTTTTCTTCCCACCCAGGAGGTAAGGGAGGTGGGGGTAATTCTTCCTGGCGCTGAGAGGGGGAATCTCCGGAGTCCACCACTTCCCAGCCATGCTTTAAAGAGGACAAATTAAAAAGCTACAGTTAAAGCCTGAAAGCTTTTATGTGTACAATTATCATTATAAACAATGGAAGGAACCTCTCCTTGCCTCCATTTCCAATAATCACATTAATCTAAAAGGAAGATGAGCTAGAATTTAAGACAATCCCTTCAAAAAAGGAAAAATGGTCAGAAAAAGCATGTTAAGATGACATTCCCATTTGAAAGATGAATTATTTGACAAAATAATTGTCAATTTGTCTACTTTTCAGAGTAAATTGCATCAAATCTGTAGCACTTATACATCAAGCATTTGTCTATAAACTGGACAAGATCTCACTTTGGTGAAAGCTAGGATAAAGAACAGGGTTTCCATCCATACATCTAAGACAGTGAGAGGAAGAACATGTTGATATTCTGAAAATGCACAGAGATGTGACTGCAGACTTGAGAATTACCCAAATTTTTAACTGAGCCATGAAATGAACTGGGAGCTGCTGCCTCTTCTACAGATCATCTCTAAAGTAGAAGACAGAGTTGCAGTTTCCTGTGTTGGCTACTGTTTCCTAGTCATCCTAATCATCTTTGAAGGCAGTCTTATGCAGAGCACACTAAAGTATACATGGGGTTACCAAAGGTCAAGCTGGAGTCAGCATCTACATACAAACATTTACATCTGGAGCTCTATTATGACATTAAGCTTTGCAGAGTAATACAGTTGCTCCCACCAACCTAGCACTGTTAATTAGTATAACAATTCATTTCTGAATCACAATGCAGGAAGGAATGTATGCTTGCTTCATATCCTGGAAGAAGAATTGATTCAGCTAGGTTTGAAAAACCATACTTCATGCTAAAGTATGATTTATTCATCCTGTGATGATAAAAAGAAACTTGTTCCACCTGCAAAGCTGATTCAGTCTAAACTGTGATGTAATGAGGGGGGTATACTTATAATTCTACTGTCTTTCCACCTTCTGAAGTCACAGAAATCCATATACTGTAGCAAGGGTTTAAGATATTGGAGACATCTTCAGTTTGGAGAATTTAAGCCTGCACTGTGACCTAACCAGAAGACCTGCAAAGTAGTAGGTCAATCATCTAGACCAGTGTTTCTCAACTTTAAGATGTGTGGATTTCAACTCCCAGAATTCCCCACCCAGCACTAATCTAGACAGCTTAGGAAAAAGAGAGATCAATTCATTACCTCTGAATCTTCTCTCTGATCACTGTCGTCCTCTTGACCACCGTTTTTTGGCATATAAGCCATCTTCAGCCTCAAAAACCCTTTTACTCGAGATTTGTGACTATGGAAGGAAAAAAGCCATTGTAAATAAAGTTGTGATTCTGAATACTATTTGGAGCTAGACAAGAACTTTAAACAAAGGGAACTTTAAAAAAAGGTAGGGTATATAAAAAAGATCTCACCTTCTTGGCCTGAGAAGGAAATCTTTAAACGTATAAGGCCTTTCCATAGTTGGGTCTTCAGTCTATTGGCATAATAAGATGGTCAAATAATTAATGCTGAAGGACAGACACCTAAATATTCTGGTGATATGAAACCTAAAAAAAACTTAGCAAATGTTTATTAACAGAAATACTTTTTGGGCATGGCCAGCAGTTCCTTAACCACTAGGTGTCACCCTCAACACCACTAAGTGCTCAGACCAACTATCACTACCTTGGTGTAAAAATCCTTGGGGATTGGGGAGGTGAAGACACACATTGTTGAGTAACAATTTTTACAATATTACACTTCCAGGCATTTACTCAGACTTTCTTTTTAACTATTAACTAGGTTCACACACTGCATTCAACCATGCGCTCTCACATAAACTATAATCAGTTGACTCTAAATAATACACTAATAATGAACTAAGGATTGCAAACCAGAATGGCTAGGTTCACATGTGACAATTTGTCATGTGAAAATACGCTTACTTGATGCAGAAACTTTACACAAAGAACTACTGATACATTATAGAATATATTGCACTCCTTATACAACAGGTTTGCCACCACCACTACCTAAAAACTATCATGCAGAGGAAATGTGAAAAATGTTGTCTGAACAGATTGGGGTGGATGTCCCAATTCTGGAGCTTGAATAGCCATTGTTCAGTGGCCTCTAAGGTTCAATCCTTGATACCTTCATGCAGGTTTGGAAAAGGATATTTTCTGAAAACCTGGAACTGTTTCTAATCAGCATTAACATTTACATTAACAGATGAACCAATATTTTTTTATCAAGTATAAGGCTATGTCTTACATTCTTTCCCATCACCACCCAACTCTTCTATAACAGATTTTTCCCATAAAACTTGCTTTTAATAATCATCAGTTATTATTTATGAACAAGCTGTGGTGTTAGGACTCAGAGATGTAATCTTTAGAATGGAAAGACCCTGCACGTTTCTTTAATAACTGAACATGTAAAACATGTTCAAGCAAAGGCACTAACAGTTTAAAGCAGAGATCTGAGGATTATAAATGGTCTTCAAAAAAAATAACATAAAGGAGCTGGGGGTGTTTTATCTATGGAAAAAAAGATGCATGCTTTTATGTGGGAAAAGAGATGGAAATGGAGAACAGCAATTCTGGTTTTAACACTGAAGAAAGCTGTTTCAGGATGAAATGAATGCTTAGACGAACTTACTCAAGGGGCTTCTACAACAGGTTACAATACTGTTTTTAAAGATGTTCAAGAAAAGGGCATTAAGAAATATTTCAGATTTAAGTTTGCAAAATGGTTTACAATTCTACATCACAGTATCTGCACAGGTGTCAGATTTAAATAAATATAAATAACAAATAACAGGGCTGTTTCTATTTGAAAAAAGAGCCTCGTTTCTTGAAGGCACTTTTACTTTGACTGTCTATCCAGCCTGGTGCTTCCAGATATGCGTTATATCTACAATGGCTATAATTCCCATCAAGAGCTCTAGGTTGGCTGACTTGGAGACAGAGCAGAAATGGAACATGAAACCTCCAGGCTGTATCCACCCTGAAACGTCTTAGGAAGAATCATCAGGAGACCTTCCAACATTATTAGCAAATTGTAATTTTTAATATGACAGAAGGAGAAAATGCTTAAACAGATGATTGGACAGAAATTATATCAACGATCTTTAATTTTCATTTGTTTTACCTATAAACCAATTCAAATCAATTTTAGTTTTGTTCTGGAATCTAGTCCTCATTTTTGGAGTGCGGAAAGGGAAACGTTGCACGTCCTTGAGTTCTGGTGGCACAGTGTGCTGAGAACGAGTTTGGCAGCACCTATTCAAATGATGCAGTCTCAGTCCCAAAAGGACTGAAAGAATGCTTAGCTTCACTCACCCATCAGTAACATTTGGACAGCAACACTGGCCTTACCGTGCTGTAGCAAATGACAATATATAAGGAGCACTTTCAGAAGAACGGGGAGGCTTTTCATTATTGTTAATCATAATGCTGATGACAGTGGCTTAATTCAGAACCTGCTGAGATAATGACTTTAAAACTCAAAAAATGTGATTGGAAGAACATCAAGAACCATGTAAAAAGGGGAGAGAAGTAGCAGGTAAAAATAAATCTCAAAGTAAAAATAAATACATAAAACTCAAATGAACCCATCTTTGCTTTCCACACCAGTGCAATTAGGGTCCTCTCTCATAGGATCATGGAAGAATAAATGAGATTAAGACTGCAACGCACTCTGTACAGTTCACAGTAATGATTAATGATAGGAATAAAGTGGTGCACGCTGATTAAAGAAATTGGAAAGGTCCTGGTAATGTTGTAAATTTTTAATACAGATACTTAACCCAAAAATGAAATCGCATAGATACGTCTTTAAAACTTCCAGTACTTAAGGAAATCGACTAGAACAGCTGCAGCAAAGACATACTAAATTCCCAGACAAAGATGAACTTATACAACTCAGGACACCAATGAAGGCAACAGAAAGTGCTAAAACAGTCTGGAATTGTTCTCCTTTTCCACTCATTACTAACTATGAGTCTCAGCAAAAATTTGGACTCTTTCCTGATCCAATATTTTATTTGCCTGTTTAATGCCCAAAGTTTAATATCCAAAGATTTCTTTACCTAAACACTTGGCATCAAGTCCTTGCGTATAGGATAACAGTAGTATTTCCCGTTATGATATGGTTTCATTTATGAGAAAAAACACCCTTCAAAACTGTGGTTTTGTGTATTATATGCAGGGACCATCAAAAAATGTCTTTCTAGTAAGGACAAACCCAACTAACTACGGTCCAAACATATCAACCAACATGTCCTTTGTGGGAATATTCCCTCCCTCTTTTAGAAGGAATACTTGTAAATTCATACACACGACAAATTTTTATATTTTCTTTCTGGTTCTTTTAAATACCTATCCAGACATAAATCTTGCATTTGTTGCTGAAAAGCATGCATAGTTAAAACTTTGCCACATAACAGAGAAGCATCTGCTATTGGATACCTCCATAACTTATTCTACACCCCCCTGGAAATTAGATATTTACTTCTTCAGTGGACCACCCCAACTTTCAGCCTCTTAGGGAACTATAATACTCAAGGCAAATACAAATATCCTGGAAAAACAGCTGACAAAGCTCCAAGCAGCAAATTAATTCCTACAGAACAGCTGCCTGGCAAGTAATGAAAAGTCTCCATCTAGTCTGTTATTTAGACTGTAGGGTTATATAGTCCTTGAAATCCACCGTCAAGCCTTCTCCTTGGCCACCCACCCCCATAAGTTCCTGTTTTTTCCCACACCAGGAAGACGGAAAAGGAGGCATCTTAGGGACTAGGCAGGGATGGACCAGGAGGGGCTGATCTAACTCTCAACTCCTGATTCAAGGAAAATTTTAGACAAGCCCTTTATGATGCTGGAATAGATGCTATTCAGATGAAGATGCAATCAGTAAATTTGATACTGGTGAAAAAACCATCACCACCCTGGATTTTCATTGTCTGCAGCAATACTTTCTTAGAAGACCGCTGGAACTTGCTAACCAAAATCTGTAATTACCCAAGTGAGGTGGGAAATGTCCAAACTAATTCTCCACTGTTTATTTTCAGTGGAACAAATTCCATTTTTAGAAATGCATTATTTAGCAGTATTGATTAGTATTATACAAATGAATGGATGCAAATTCGCAACTAGATGTAAATTTAATGGATACCACAACCTATGAAAACTGAAATAAGGGGTGAAATTATTATTTTCATCTAACTGTCCCTGCAAACATATACAGATATGTGCATGCAGCTGTCTTCGGTGGCTTCAACTTTTATTTAAAATCTGAATGATGTAAAAAAATTGTTTCATACTGAGTTACCAACTCTAACCATGTAAAAAGTTGTATCTAGTGCTGGTCATTCTTGTTAATGAGAAATGCCTACTAGTGGACCAGGGAGGAGAGCATAGTGTGACTATTTCATCAGTGCCATGAAAATTCATTTTTCATCAAAAACAAACTCCTCATAGAAAGAAAGAGAAAAAAATGACTGACTTCTTTCTTTTCAGTAGCTTTAGGGGGGAGAGATCCTAAATCTCTTTCCCAAAAGATTATTTATTAAATTATTAATATTATTTATTAAATTTGTTATGGCTGCCCACTCCAAAACACTTTGGGCAGCTTACAACATTGGACTATACAATTAAAACAATTAAAAACCTAACACAATGCAACCGCCTGGACTAGAAAACCACCATAACAATAAAAGAAACCAAGGCAGGGCTTCCCCAACACGCTAACCCCAGGTCTGGGAACAAAGCCAGGTTCTAAGGGCCTTCTGGAACCCAGGGGAGACTGGGCTTTTCTATCTGGAAATATTCTTATCCATTGCAGAGCTCAATTCATAGCTGGTTTTCTTTAAAATACCAGCTCCATGTGAAATCCTTAATTCGTCAAGATGCAACATAATCTTTTCAGATTACTGGCTCTGAACCATTGTAAGCCAGTATCTACTCAGTAAAAAGAAAAAGGTTTCACTCCACAGGCAAATGGAGAAAAGAATGTGCAAGAATCTATAAATGCACTGTAACTGTTTGACACTGGAAAAAATAGGCTCTAAAAATAAGTTGGTTTCTATTTAAGCTTCTGTGTTTGCTTGTTAACTAATGTTCATATTTCTTACAAAATGTTTCACACTTCCGTTTTCTTCCTGATGAGATCAGTGAAGCCCAAAAGCATATGTCTTGCATACGAAAAAGAAAAAAGATGAAGAGACTGCCTACATTCATATTTTTGCTCATTTTAACAGTTGTCTATAACTGTTAAATAAGTCTATAAAATAACTTATTCAAGTTTAAATAAAAATGATCTTTTATATACCTATGAAAACATGAAAGTACTGCAGTTTAGACAATGGGTTTTGTCCTTTTAAATGTTCATCATAAATTACAATTGTGATGGAGACATGATATTCCCATTTGCCTAAATAATGATAGCAGATATGGAACATCTGTAGACTCCTTTTTCTAACTTCATATTTTCAAATTCTGGAATTCCACTACTTTTTAGAATAAACCATGGTGCAGCATCTAATCCAAATCCACGTAAATGCTAGTCACAATGTCACAATGAGCATTTAGATGTCTACAGGTAGTCCTCGCTTAATGACTGCCCTGTTTAGTGACTGTTCAAAGTTACGACAGCACTGAAAAAGTAATTCTATGACTGGTCTTTGCATTTACGACCGTCACAGTGTTCCCCGTGGTCACATGAACAAGATTCAGGTACTTTGCAATTGGCCATCACAGCATCCCACAGTCACGTGATCGCCATTTGCACACTTCACAGCAGGCTTCCAACAAAGAGAGTCAATGGAGAAGCCAGTGGTAAAATTGCAAGTCACATGATATTTTCCTTAATGATTGAATGGGAAGTGACGTCATAAGTCAGCCACTGTCACATGTTTTGCTTAGCGACCGCATCACTCAGTGACAGAGTTGCCACAATTGTGGTCATTAAGCAAGGACTACCTGTATGCTTTCCGGTTTAGTCGCCTGCACATCCACAGAAGCCACTGACAATGCTGAATGCTATCCTAATAAATTCTAGTTTGAAATGAACTACTGTTTGCATCAACACTAATGGCTATGCAAAGTGGTGCTATAACTCATTCGGAAATGGAGAGAATTCTCAAGAAAGAGAGGAAAATGATTTATTGTCTCATTTTTAGTGCCACAGTTTATCTAGCACAGCTTATAAATGCATTCCTTGTGGACATCCTGCACTTTGTTTTTTCCCACAATTCTTAAAAGTGATCTTATCTCCTATGAGGAGTTTTTACTAGATGTAAGAAAGCAGGGTTGGAATTTTAGACAGATACAATTTTAAAGAAAGGTAGACAGCCCTTTCAGTGGAACCAGTTAGTTTGTATATGTAGCATCTAAAAGGGTAATCCGTGAGACTGAAATAAATGGAAATCTCTATTTTTATGGGAGCATAGTGACATTCCTTCCTGCAAAAAACAGAGAGCTAGAGAGAGAACCAAACCTCTGTTATGAAGTATCTACAATAAAGTCTTCCTCCTAAACAGTCCCTAAGTGATTTCATTTTAGAACAATGACTGGAAACTTTGCAGACACTTGGTGACTGAATGATTAATTTCAATATAGGAGATGGGGCACAAAGTCTTGCTCAGCCATGAAAATGGAAGCTACCACTATCTCATGAGATTTTGAGAAACTATGAGATTTTATTGCACATTATTATTATTATTATCTAGCTTGTTTGCTTGCTTCATGTGGCTGTATGGATAAAGGGTGACATAGAAATAGCTTAAATAAATAAGTATCAATAAATAAAACAATTACAAGTGAAATGAATGAAGTACTCAAGCTTATCCTATACTGTGGCATTTGCCACCAATATGGTAATGCTGTTTAAGGCAAGGCTGACCAAAGTAACATTGGGATCTGTTAGTAAATCTCTGAGTAATTTGCATGCCATTTCCTATAGGCTTAACCACGGCAAGAACATTTTTTTAAAAAATCTTTTCAGTTAGGATCTAAAGTAAAAGAAGCTTGGAAGAAAATGAGTATGTTTCTCTGTCAAAGTCAAAGCATGCAAATTTCCAGTTCTTGAACTTGAAACATATTCCTGGGCTGAGGCTCTAGAACAGTGCTTCTCATCCTTGGCAACTTTAAGATACATGGACTTCAACTCCCAGGATTCCCCAGCCAGCGTGGCGAATTCCCCAGCCAGCAGAATTCTGGGAGTTGAAGTCCACACCTCTTAAAGTTGTCATGGTTGAGAAACACTGCTTTATAAGATGAATCTTGTGGGTTTCTAGTGAAAAACAACAAACATCTTGCAAACACACTCTGCCTATCTTTGACTTAGATCATTCTTCCATTACCTTCTACAAAATAGAGGGACTAGAAAGGTAAAAAAATCTTACCGGAAGATGATTAAGTGGCACATCCACTTGACCTAGAAAGTCGTCTCTGGTCTGTTAATGAAACAGAAAAAACTTAAAATGATTTGTTATTAAATCAGTGTAGTCACTGACATTAATTTCAAGTCAGTTTTTGTACCACCTTGAATTATAGTGTAATTCTGTACATTTCAAAATCTTGGATTTGTCAGAGAATTCCAATTACCTGTGTTTCTTATACTGTTTTTGTCCTTGTGCAGCCTAAATAAATATATAGAGAGAGACCCTAAAGCTAATACTAACCTGGAAATAGTTTTATTCCCCTCCTCTTTAATTTCAAGCAAGCCAGAAAAAGAGCTGCAGAACTGAATCTTGGAACCAGATGAAGTGACTCGATCATTTTATCTTCCTTGACTAATTTCAGAACAGGCATTCTATTCTTTAATGATAATTTTTAATTTAAAACATAGAAGAACAGCAATGCTTGTTACATACATATATGTACAATGTGCACTCCAGGATGTTCCCAATTATTATTAGGATTTTCATGTTGTGAAAAGCAAGTTATTCTGTCTGTCTGAAAAGATTAATGTCTCGTGTAGGAATTACATGAACACTCTCACTTCCGGTACATGTCATCTTCCCTGATCGCTGCAGTAGGCAGATCTAACTCACACATGGAAAGCACCAAGCAATTTCTCCAGGACAAAAATGAAAGAGATGCTGTACAGACAGAAATTATGTGTGCATATCTGAAACACAGGAAGCTGAGTCAAATTTTGAATCCCATGAACTTAATATTACCTTCATTGCATGGAACTCTCTGGCAAGAATCTTCTAGAGATGCCAAGAATTGACTTCTGCGTGGAAAATGTGCTCTGCCATTTAGCTACAGCCCTTTCATGTTTGACAGTAAACTCTGGATTGGGAATGCCAGGGCTGGCCCTACCATTGGGCAGTTTGAGGCAACCCCCTCAGATAGCAGACGTTCTATGAGTGGCAAAACTAATCTCCTAGCTATTTCTAATCCCTTTGCTAATCTCTACTGAAATAGCTGCACTGTATCTATTGCAGTGGACTCTACAGTAGTCTATAATCACTACTGAAATTAAACTAACCGCCAGTCCAACACTAATGATTACAGGATATGGACTGGAAGAGGCTTGGAACTGTTGTATCATAGCCTTTCCCCACATGCATCTAAATATGGATAAAACATGCCCTAGCAACCTTTTTTTCTGCTGTCCTCATGATGGACTAGCTTCTGGACCAGCTTTAGTGGTTAGGTCAGGGGGTGCAGTCTTGTGCCGGTTCTACTTCTTCCAGGTTAAGTTTCAGTCAGTTATGATAGGAGGGCTTGACACTTTCCCTGCTCCTATTTAACATCTACATGAAGCCACTGGGTGAGGTCATTCAATAGCACTGGGTGCAGTATTATCAGCAGCATGCTGATGATACCCAGTTGTACCCTGCTACTCTGTCCTGGTATCTGGAGGTTGTAGGGGCCCTGATGGGGAAGAATAGATTCTGGCAAGACTGAGTAGCTTTGGCTTTTAGGGCTCCCTGGATCCAGGGATTTTCCATCTTCAGTTCTGGTTGGAATTGCACTTCCCCAGACACAACTGGTGCACAATTTGGGGATCCTCCTGGACTCATGGCTCCTGTTTCAAGTGGCAGCTGAGGCCAGGAGGGCTATTCACAGCTTTATGTTGTCCATGAATTGTGCCTTTTCCTGGAGCACTGCACATGGTTACTCATGCCTTGATTCCATGGTCTATACTTCCATGGACTACGGTAATGCGCTCCACATGGGCTACCCTTAAAGAATATCTGGAAGCTGCAATTGGTTCAAAATGCAGTGGTATGGGCAGTTATGGGTGAACAGGAAGCATAGCATGTTATACCTTTGCTAGGTGAGCTGCACTGACTGGCTCTCAATAGGCTTCTGGGTACAATTCATGGCATGGGGCCTGGATCCTTGAAGGACCATCTCTCTCTGGTTATTTCTACTTGCCCTATAAAATCTTTGGTCCTGTCAATTAAAAATACCACCTTTCTATCTGTGACTCAGCTGTCCTTCAGATTCGTTTGACAGTGGGGTTAACTTGGGGAAAGACAAAACAAAACATCCAGCAGCTGAACACTGGGGCTGCCATGTAAAATGGGAGAACCTCTCCTGCTTTACCATCTTCTCCCTATGGATCAGCTCTCTGTCAGGTTTGGGGAGATACCAAGTTCTGCAAATGGCTAACCTGCAAGTCTAGCCATTTTTCAAATCCATCCGTCCGTCACAACAGTCTTGTGATTAGTAGGCAGCTTTTCACGCTGCCAACATTCAGAAGGCCAGCCATGGCAGAGGCTTTTACCAATGATTTGTAATGCATCCCCAAATTCATAATACCACCACCCAGCAGCACACCAGAACAGCGGCTATACAGACAAGATAGGAATCAGTAGTAAACACACACACAAAAATTATTTTGGTATAGTTTTCTGCCCGATCAAGGATGGCTGGGAAGCATTTTAACCAAGCCACGAAGAAAAGCCTGTAGACAGTATTTATTTTAAGATAAAGAAGAACAGAGAAACCATCTCTATCATCTGAGAGGATTTTAGCATAAGCGTACGGGAGGGAGGTACAAAAATGCTGCTACATAGAACTCTGCATGGCTATTATAAATAATTTCCCTGTTCCCATCTGGTAAACCTGAAAAGTTGCAATCTCAGCAGCGCAAATTCAGAACCCAAGAGGAATTTCACTTCACAAACAGATGTCCGTAATGCAATTAATATCAACAAAGGCTGAGAGAGCATATTATCACAAAAGTTTTTATTCTCACACACTTCAGAGAGCTGCAGTTTTGCTTGTTCATATTTTCACATTTTATTTTAATAGTAGTATTTTATTGGAATTTTAAAATTACAAAGTTAAAAGTTAGAAATGAAAAAGAAAATTGAAAATACGAATTTTAAAGAAAAGGAAAAGAAAAAGTGAGATAAAGTAAAAGAAAAAGAAAAAAGATATGAAAAATAGATAACTTCCAATCTCTCTCTGGTCTTAGGAACGAATTTTAAAATTACAAAGTTAAAAGTTAGAAATGAAAAAGAAAATTGAAAATACGAATTT